TATTCAGAAAACCCCCCAACAAAATAAAAAAAAAAAAAAAAAAAAAAAAAAAAAAAAAAAAGAATGAAATCCTGTTATTCATGGCATCATGAATAAGCCTGGAGGACATGACAGTAAGTGAAATAAATGAAGTTCAGAAAGAAATACTGTATGTTCTTACTCCTATGTGGAAATTTTAAAAATTTGACTTCATGGAAGAAGAGAATAAATAAAAGATACCAGAGGCTGGTAAGGGCAGGGGGAAGGGGGAACAGGGAAATATTCATTAATGAATACAAAATTAGTTAGATAGGAAAAATATCTTCTAGATTTCTTTTTTTTAATTTTAAATAGATTTTTTGCTCTAGGGCATGTGCACTCGCCAGAAAGACAGAGAGAGACAGAGAGACAGAAAACAAGAAATCACCTCCTGCAGGGGGGGATGGCCATGCCACAATCCCTTCTCCTTTATTCTCCTCTTGGGATCTTGGGCACACACACACATGTGCCCAGAGTGTTTAAGCCAACAGGTCTGGGATTCAAACCGTGGTCGATGACATGGGAGTCCAATGACACAGCCATTTCGCCAACTGCTGGTCCCAAGGTTTCTATAGCACAATATGGTGACAGTAGTTAACAATAATGTATTATACACTTCAGGATAGCTAGAAGAGAGGATTTGAGATGTTCCCAACACAACAAAACAATAAATACCTGAAGTGATGAATATGCCAATTACTCTGATTTGGTCATTATACACACACACACACACATATATATATATATAATTGTTACATGTCAACTGTCTTAAAAAAAATATGTAGTGCTCACAGAAAATGGATACCATGTAAATGGAGGTTTACAGTGACTATTGCAATGCAGTTCACCATGCATTAATGGTGATTTGTGACTCTATGAAGCTACATCTTATGACTTTGGGGGTATCAGAAACAGTGCACTTTTCCTGGCTCCACTTCATAGTCAGGTGAGTAGGAACCCTATTGCTTCTCTTTTCGATCATAAAACTAGCAACGAGAGACCCATGACCACAGCTATGCTGAAAGGTTGACAGTCTCAGACCTTTCCCATTTCAATGGAAGTATGCTGACCCCAGGTGCATGCAAAAGATTAGTTTATTCCCCATCCTTATTACCAGAAGATATTGCCAAGAAACAGGTAACATGAATAGAATACATTTCATCTTAGAACTTAATGGTTTGAGACATGGATTGGCAGGGCTAGATGGTGGCATGGTGGTGTAATCAAATACTCTGTGAGGCAGTTCCACATGGGAGGTAACTGGTTCAAGTCTGGAGGCCTCCCTGAGTATGCCAGGCATGTGTGTGCCCTGAGCTGGGGCTGACTGAAGTGGGGGAAATCATAGTGTCAGGGCCCTGTTGGGGTGATGTCTTTCTCTGTCTCTCACTCACTCATAGGGGAAATAAATAAATTAAATAAATAAATAAATAAATAAATAAATAAATAGTTTGATGAGAGGGACCAGCAGATGGAGTAATGATCGCATCACTGGACTCCCACGTAGTTGACCGTGATTCAAGTTCCAGACCTGGCAGCTTAAAACTCTCACCTGGCGCATGTACATGTGTGCCCAAGATTCTGGGAGGAGAATGGAGAAGGGACTGTGGCATAGCCATCCCCCCGGGGGAGTGATTTCTTACTTTGTGTCCCTCTGTCTCTCTGGCAACCACATGTAACCCTATAGCAAAAATCTCTAAGTGAAAATAAAAAGGGGGGAGGGAAGGATTTAGTGCAGAACCTTCTGGTGAATTGGGAAGATGATTGTTATTGTGTTCTGTGAGTTATTGGTTAGTAACTATTATTCCTGCAGCTCCTTTGGGACTCCTGTCAAACTGCAGTGTTTTCTTGTAAATTATTCACAGCAAGGTGTTGCCTATGGTAAATTGTGTCAGTAACAGCCACATGCCATGCCTGCAGGCCTGAACACTGCCAATTGCCTGGCTCCAACTCTGCTTTCTCCATTTCAGACCAGAGTAAAGCACAGCAGAAGTGCTGTCAGTGAGACTCAGAGGTGCAATAGGAGGTGCTATCTACCCTCCCAGTCTACAGTCCACCAGGGCAGGAGCTAACTGAAAACACTGAAGGACCTAATCAGACCTTTAATATTACACAGAGCAAATTGCATTTCAAGCTCTGAAGAACACGGAGCCATTCTACATCTGATTAAGCTCCATCCAGTACCAAATTATGATAAATGTTTATTTTAGAAAAGTGCATTGTCACGTGTTTTCTGATTCTGTTTATTCATCTGGAAAGTGTTTGTTTTTTTCTTTCTTTAAGGAAGTAGGAGTATGAGAAAGCCCGTGTTGTCCTGACTTATCTGCTTGGCAAAACGGAGAGGAATTTTGTTTTGGCCCTTTCTTGTATAACTGTACAGAGATCAGGAGGGAGTCTCATCCTGGCCACTCTGACTCAGTGTCCTGATGCTCCTCCACAGACAGCCTTCACTCACTTCCCTGCCCTCACCTCCATTGTCCAGAGTACTCCCACCTTCTGGACTGACTCCAGGGGTGGGGAACTAAAGGGCTCTTAGAAGGGAATGGATCAGTAGGAGAATTCCTACACAGAGCTAGCAGGCTGTGAGAAGGAATTAGAGCAGGTATTTTTGTTTTGTCCAAAATAAAATGTTACATACAATTTGGGGGAAGAAAACTGAATCATACCTAATTCTGCCTGCTTCATAGCTGCTATATGACTTCTTTGATCTTTAAGTGTATTTATTTTTACATAGAAATGTGTCTTTTTATATACAGTAAAATGGAATCACTGTGGCTTTGTTTTGAAATTCTTGGGTTCCATTTAGCATACTCCAAACATCATTCCATGTTGATAAGCAGAGTTGTCCATCATCTTCAATGACTGCTAAACAATTTTCTATCTGTGGAGTCTTCTCCCCTCTCTTTCTCCTTTGTTTTCTCCTCTCTCTTCTTTCACATACCCTGTTATCCTTTCCTTCACTGGCAACTCTGTTATCCTTTTTATTTCTCATAATCCATAATCTTTTTTCTCCAGCTCACTTGTTTTCTTTTTTTTTTCACTCTAATGCTTTGTTGTGTACTCTCTAACATATGCAAATAATGTAAAATAAAAATGGATTGTTGTATTTTTGGGTTATTTTGACTGTATAACTCATACTGTAATAATTTGTTTCCATTTTTGTTGTTATTCTTGTTGGCTGCTTTGTAATATTTTCTGCCTAGGTTCTGTGAGAACAAGCATGACAGGACTTTGAAAGCTTTTTGTATCCCCACAAGAAATAAATGACAAAGAAGCAAGCCATTATAATGAATGTTTATGATCTTTATTTTGGAACATGACAGTCTCAAGCCCTCTGTCACTTCTGAGTCTCAGTGATTTATCTCATTGCCCCAGACTCCACGCCAGTCCACAAAGATGGGCAGAATGAAGCTGACAGTGCCCCAGAAGACCTCCAGTCTGTCGGGACCAGCAGGCTGCTCTATCACATCACTGATGGTGACAACCCGCTGTTGTCACCGCGATGCTCTATCTTCAGCCAAAGCCAGAGGTTCAACTTAGACCCTGAGTCAGCCCCTTCTCCACCCAGCACTCAACAGTTTATGATGTAAGAAAATGTTTCTATTCATTTCATATAGTTATTCAAATAACCAGACACTTCTTGCTCTCCTACATATTCCATATGAAACTTGGAATACCAACTGCAAAGAACCATATGTCTGAAACAGTGCAAATGGGCCTGCCAAATCCGACTTCAGACCTGAATGATAAATGAAAGAAATCAGTGTACTTTCTATTGGGTCTTTGGGACAGTCATGAAACATTTTTTGCATAGACAAACATAGAAAAATATGTCGTGACAGTTTTTGATGACCCCATATAGTTGGGGATGCTGTTTCAGGCATTAATATTTCTGGAGGAAATATTTCTGAGAGACGGGCTACCCCAGGTGTTCACATGTTTGAATGTTTTTGGTGGAATGATCAGAATCGTAAGTAAGTATGTATACATGCAAATAGCAAGAGTATCATTTTCAGTACTGTCAATATTCTTTTCATGGACAACAGTGGTATTGATGGGTAGATTGTTGGAACACTTGAAAGTTTTCACCTTCATTTTTTTCTTAGATTCTAAAGGCGTGTCACTTATAACAGCCGCCTCTTAATTTGTATGCTTATATATATTGGGAGGATCTTCAAAAAGATCATGGAAGACACTTACTGCCCTCCTACATTCTTCATTTGAAATTTGAGATACGAAATTGGGATTGGAGTGATTTTGAGGATCTATGTGTTATTAATTTTAAGTTTTCAAATAATATTAATGCATAACTAAAACTGAAAATTCCTTGACTAAAAATATTTCTGGAAAATCCTTAGTTTCTCTCTCATTGGTCATGCTGTTCTTCTTCTTCTTTTTTTTTTTTTTTTTTTTTTTTTTTTAAGAGAGATGTTTGCTATAGGGTTTTGTGCATTTGTCAGAGAAAGTCATAACTACCACCCCCCCACCCCGAGGTATGACTATGCCTCAATCTCCTCTCCTACAGTCTTCTCTCAGAATTTTGGGTATACATGCACATGTACCTGGCATGAGTTTTTTTTTTTTTTCTTTTTTTTTGAGGAGGGAGGTTTTCACTATAGGGCGCATGCGCCCACCAAGCAGACAGAGACAGACAGAGAGACAGAAAGCGAGAAATCACCCCCCCAGGAGGGATGGCCATGCTGCAATCCCTTCTCCTCCATTCTCCTCTCAGGCTCTTGGGCATGCATGCACACGCGCCCAGCGTGAGTTTTAAGCCACCGGGTCTGGGACTTGAACCGTGGTTGACTACATGGGATTCCAGCAACATAGACATTACACTAATTGCTGGTTCCCCAGCATGAATTTTTTTTTTTTTTTTGAGAGATTTTCACTGTAGGGCACGTGCGCTCGCCAGACAGACAGAGAGAGACATAGAGACAGAAAGCGAGAAATCACCCCCCAGGGGGGATGGTCACGCCGCAATTCCTTCTCCTCCATTTTCCTCTCGGGATCTTGGGCACGCACGCACACGTGCCCAGCGTGAGTTTTAAGCCACCGGGTCCGGGACACGAACCGCGGTCGACTACGTGGGAGTCCAGCGACATAGCCATTACGCTAACTGCCCAGCATGAATTTTAAGCACTGGGTCTGGGCCTTGAACCATGGCTGACTACATGGAAGTCCAGCAACATGACCATTATGCCATCTGCTGGTCCCTATGCTGTTATTCTTGAATGTATCCAAACCTGAGTCCTTGGACTATCTATTTTTTTTGATAGATTAAGGGAGTTAGTATTGCATATAAAGTATGTGTCACTCATGAGGATATATGTGTTTTGGGAAAAGGGATACCATTCCCTCATCATATTAGAAAAGATTCTATTGCCAAGAAAAGTTAACCACTTATCTTAATTTTCCTTAAAATACCGGTAGGAGTGACTCATGCAACCTATGGAGGAAACACCTCAGTAGGGCTGTCTCTTCTGAGCCTTAAATTGGCTTCCCCCTAAGCTTTAGGAAATGCATTTCCTGAACTGATATTTAACTTTTTATCCTAAAGTTCCTGATGATACTTGTCTGTATGGTGTTCTGTGATCGGGGTCTCCATCAATGAGGGTAGCTATTATGGTAGCATCTCCATTAGCAGGCTCAATTACCATGATAGCTTCATTAAATAAAGAACTGCCCTCTGGATTTCTTTGATAGTCCAGGAGTCAGTTTGTGGGCTAACAACCAAATGTTTACTGGAAGACCATTGTTTTTGATGCTCTTTCTCTTCCTGTGATCATCTCAGGCCCCGAAGTTCTTCACGGTGCAGCTGTGGTGATGGCAAGGAGCCACAGACCATTACCCAACTCACCAAACACATCCAGAGCCTAAAGCGAAAAATTCGGAAATTCGAAGAAAAATTTGAACAAGAAAAGAAGTATCGGGTAAGCCCTAGCGTCTGATATGTAATTAGGTTGTATCACAACTGTGTAGATTTTCCTGAGCCTCTGTCCTTCCTTACCAAGGGATGGCTCTGTTCCCAGCTGACCAACCAGGTTGAGTTGAGTTCCTTGTCTTGCTACCTTATTCTTATATACTATTTTAGTAGATATCAGTTGATATCTACTAAAATATTTCCTAGTAATCTTTTATAACTCTTCTTACTTTTGAACTTACTAGATTATTGATTTCCACTTGTTTTTTTATGGAACATTATTACTAATTTTTATAAAAGGAACAAAATTGAGAAAGCTTTTAAATTATGTCCTTCTGTTTTCTTAAACCTACCAAGTCCAACTTAAGACCTGTACAATAAATGTAAAACATCTGAACTTTCTAGTTAGGAATGTTGTTTCAGCCTTTCATATATCAGGAAGAAATTCTCATGGGAGAATTTCTTCATATTTGAATGATTTTGGTTAACTGACCAGAGTCTTAAATAAGCTATGTACAGGCAAATATCAGGATTTGCATTTTGCCTTTACTTTTGGTAAGAAACTATTCACAACCTAAAGGGTAAAATCTTCATTTGTGGAGCAGAATGATGGAGAGATGGTTTCCTTGAGGGTAAAGTATTCCCTGGTTGACCGGTGGGGACCTCTCAAGTGACATTTACAGCAGGCCCTTCATAATGAACCCTAAATCATCCTTACCCATCAGTCTTCATGCTGATACCACAGTGTTGCAAATGTGAGCCTGTCTTTTCTCACATAAGGCAGAATAGAGTAATAAGGAAGCCTTGATAGCCACTGTTGGTTTTATTTATTGTCTCTTATGGTGACCAAAGCATAGAGAAAAATCATATTCACATTGAAATGTGCAAAGATATTAGGCCTTTGGCAAAGGGCCCAGAACAGCTTGTTATTAGAATAAAAGAGAACAGGGAGTAATCTCTTGTACGTCTTGAAATATTTAAAGGCTCACTAAGCGCTCAGTACAGAAGCAATCAAAAAGTTCCTGTGAGTGTGGGCTAAATTCTGGGGAGGCAGGTGAGAGTGGGGAATATTTACGTTCTTTCTGTCCTGTGTTTGGCAGAGTGGCCCCAAATTTACTAAAAGAAGATTTTGTTAAGGACTGTGTTTTCAGTTTTGCAAAATAGGGGAAAAATTAGATTCTTAAAAGAAGAAATCTTAAAACAAGATTCTTCTCTTCTCCAGAGTCAGATGATCACAGCTACTTACTGTCTTTCATAGAGCAGGAGGGAGATCTAGTCTAGGCTGAGATCTAGTGAAGATATAACTTGTGTTGAGTGGCTGCATTCTATCAGTTCAGACTTGGGGCTGTGGATTAAAGATAAATAGGTTTTGCAATGGAAGAGAAGAAGTAAAATTGTTAAGGTGTCCACATATTAAAAGTTTCGAGAGAAGTTGATTTTATCTTCTGCTGTGTTATTTCTCCCAAGATGTCTTCTCATTGAACTGTAGAGTTAACAGTGAGAGGCTCTATTCCTAGGGCCTGTTAACCTTCTTAACTAGAAGGTCTGAATCAGACTGTTCTGACATGAATCTAGCACCTCCAATTAGAGACTTTGTGACTTTGAACTTTCTACTTCACTTTTCTAAGTTTGCTTGTCCATCCATCTTAATTTTGTGAATATTAAGTGAGAAAGTACATATAGCATGCTAATTACAATGTTTGGCACAAAGAAAGTAAGTGGTCCTGGACATCATTACATTAACTTTTTAGTCTATTTGAGTGATATCTGAATGGGCTACACCATGGCAGTCTCTGATTTGTCAGAAAGTGAAATAATATTATACATTTTAATTCATGACTGGATTTTTCTACCTGTAATTACAGACCCACCCTGGATTATTTCTCTCAACTATAACAGTCACACAAGCAACTGCCACTCAGAATTTTTCCTGGCATCTCTCATCTTTGTCTAGAGAAGTACTGAAGTCAAGGCAAGCAGACAACACACACACACACACACACACACATAAATACACATGCCAGAGAATTTGGGAGCAGGATAGAAAGGAGTCTTCATGGCTATTGCTGTTCTGTGTGTATAAAAGTCTTCGATGTAATCAGAAGCTTACATGTCTCAGGAAACAGGGCTTCCTTTTGCCCTTCCTGTCAGAGTGCCAGGTTGTGGTTAGAGGTTTGACAGGTCAATGGCCTTTAATTGGTTGCTGTGTATAAGGCTTCCCTTCCTGGCAGCCTGATTGTGGAATTAATAGCACTCACTGCTAATTTTTTAATCTGAGCTCCTGCTGGGCCTCTGTGCTATGCTAATGCTTACATGCACCCTACATCTTTCCATTTCTGTTGAGTGTAACCATTTTATATTGCTATCCCAAATTGTGCTTATACTTTACCACTGACTTTGACTTTGATTTTTGGACTCATGGACTTAGGAAAAAGCCTACCTCAGTCAGATGGCTGCTTTCAGTGGAATTAGAGAATGTTAGAATTTGAAGGGATCAGCCAGTCTTTTCTTTTACTTTCTATCTTTTTTAATGTGATGATTGAATAAACTGAAGCCCAAAGAAGGGAATAAATTCCCTTCAATCATACAGTGAGTAACTGATCTAGTCAAGACAACAACACAGGTCTTTTTATTGCCAATTCAGAAATCTTTCTAATGTGCTTTTTATTCTTTGTTTGTTTATTTTAAGAGAGATTTTTGCTATAGGATGCATGCACTCGCCAGAGAGATAGAGAGAGACAGAAGGCAAGAAATCACCTCTCAAGGGGTTGACAACACTGCAATCCCTTCTCCTCTAGTCTCCTCTCAGGATCTCGGGCATGCATGAACATGTGCCTGACATGAGTATAAGCTGCCAGGTCCAGAACTCAAACTGCAATCAACTATGTGGGAGTCCAGTGACATAACCATTACACCATCTGCTGGTCCCTTTAATGTGTCTTTTGAACCACCTTTGGAAGATGATAAATATGGTCTGGAGGTACCTTCAGTTATATGGTTTGGGAACTCCATTTGAATTATATTGAATAACTTAATCTATGTTACTTTTGGGTATATGACCATCAGAATCTATTAAACCAGAAATGTTTAGTACAGAATTTAAAAAGCTTCAAGATCCACAGGTTCCATATGAAAACTTTGTATGTGATTTGAGAGAGCTGCCATCCAGGTGAGCTTAATTTAACCTTTTTTTTTTTTTTTTTTTGAGAGGTTTTTGCTTTAGGGGGTGTGG